TGACACAAGTTGCGTAGTCTGGTTTTGCTGTTCCTTCCATTAGCCCTGGGATACTGTTGAATTGCCTGCGAACTTCTTCAACCATTTTCAGAGCTGCACTTCCCACACTCTTCATTGTCATGGCTGAGAACCAATATGGAAGCATTGCCCCTACTATCAAACCAATGAAGACCTTAGGTGATAAGACATCGACAGTCTTGATACCAGCTCTGCTCACGTAGGCACCAAACAAAGCAAGAGATACAAGTGCAGCTGATCCAATTGCAAAACCCTGATAATGTAGGAAAGTAGTTTATTAGGTATACTTGCTCCGGATATATGATATCCTGTAGCTATTCAGTAGAGTAACACATAACACCAACAACAACATACCCCGTGTAATCCCACAAGTGGGGTCTAGGGAGAGTAGGATGTAGCGCACACCTTACTCCCTAACCTTTGTGGGCAGACAGACTGTTTCCATTAAACCCTCGGCTCAAAAGAAGTGTAATCAGAGCAGGATTGAAAGGGAAAACAGCAAAATAGCAAGCATACAACTTTGAAGCAATTATGTTTCACACAGCTCACCAGTGATCTAAATTCTGATCAATTTTAGTTGATGAAACTTTCTAGTTAGAAAGTGTGAAGGACACATAATTGGAAAGAATTTCTATGGACATCAGGAAACACTCTAATTTGCCAACTGATTAGCATTTGCGACTCTATGAATTAGATGGTAACATAATTGGATAAACATAGCAAGGTTAATGCTACAGATTAAAAGGAGACTTATCTAACCTTGCCAATTGCTGCTGTTGTGTTTCCAGCAGCATCAAGAGCATCAGTCCTTTCACGAATGCTATGGCTCATTCCAGCCATCTCTGCAATACCACCAGCATTATCGCTGATAGGACCATAAGCATCTATTGCGAGCCCAGTGGCTATAGTGCTAAGCATTCCCAGAGCAGCTACTGCAATGCCATACATAGCAGCTAAGCTGAAGCTCACGTATATAGAAGCGGCAATGGCAAATATGGGAATGATGACAGATTTATATCCAAGAGCCAATCCAAATATTACATTTGTCGCAGCACCAGTCTTGCATGAATCTGCAACTTCTTGTACTGGACTGCAAGATTTTGCAATAGAAAACTTTAAGAACATAGATCAATACTGCATAACTTTCCCCCTCCCCAAAATAAAAAAGAAAAAGAGACAAATAACAGGCATAAACACAATGCTTCATTGCTAGTGGAGAGACACTCTTCTCCATTTCATTATGAAACACAAGTTACTATTGCTAAGAAGTAGAGAGGAAAACTTGATGGCTAGTTGGATGATTATCATAAGAGATTCTCAACATATCATATGATTCTCGTACTTGAAAATACACGCTTTTCCATACCCAGAAAACAAATGGAATTCTAGTTTGATTATCACAGATCTCAATCTCTACTACCTTCTGTAAAGCGATTTCAGGGCTTTCATTTCCTTAACTGATTAGTGACTGATTTCCTTGTTTCCATTCTGAAGCTAATTTTCGTCAACATGTTTGTTTGTCATTTCGTTTCCTCTTTTATGAGATTGAGAAAAAACTCACTTAAATAATTAGTATTTGATATATCTTGAAAATTGGCAAGCTAATTCATCTTATGTCATAGTTAATGATACTGATGTTAAACCTAACATAATGTAATAAAGTTATCCAAGCATAACAACTGAAAATACCAACCTGTAAGCGCTGCTAGTATAATATTCAGTAGTATAACCAATGACCAAGCCAGCCCATAAACCAATTGAAACACAGAAGAATAGGTGCCTGTAGCAATACATAATGATCATGCTATATTAGGAACATAGACAATAGGTAGAACTATGCACAAAATATGAAGCAAGAAGAAGCTACCAGTTCTTCACCACTTTCTCGGATCCAAAATCAAAAATAGTGAATTCTGATGGCAAAGCAAAGAAATTGACAAAAGCAATTCCAACAGTCATCAGAACAGTTGAGATGAGAAGTTGCCTCTTCAAAGATGGTTCAATCTCAGTCACATTCTTTATCTCAAACATATCGGTTGCAATAAGAGTCGTTATCAGGCAAATAAGAATTCCCATTGAGCTGATAATCAGAGGATAAGACATAGCCGAGTAATCGTGGTTACTACCGATGGATGAAATGGATGCAACAAACAGTGCTGCACATGATGACTCAGCATAGGAACCGAATAGATCCGAGCCCATTCCAGCAATATCCCCTACATTGTCACCTACATTGTCTGCAATAACCTGTGAACAACAAAGGAAAATATAACAGAAAACTTATAAGGCTTCAACTTCTAAACAATGGAAGTGTAAAAACTATAGGAAGAGCAGAAGGTCCCAAGATGAGATATTACAGCTGGGTTGCGGGGATCATCTTCAGGAATATTACGTTCAACTTTGCCTACTAGATCAGCACCAACATCTGCTGCTTTTGTATATATACCTCCACCAACTCTTCCAAAGAGAGCCATTGAAGATCCTCCAAGACCATAACCAGTAATAGACTCATACAGACCCTCCCAGTCATCTCCATAGTACAGCTTAAATAAGTTGATAGAGATATATAAAACTAAGAGGCCATTGGCAGCAAGAAGGAATCCCATAACTGCACCAGAGCGAAAAGCTGTAATGAAGGCCTTCCCAATGCTTTTCCTTGCTTCCAGAGTCGTTCTTGCATTGGCATATGTTGCGATTTTCATTCCAAGGAAACCAGAGAGGGCTGAAGTTAGGCCTCCCAGCAAGAAGGCAATGGTGGTAAAGAAAGCATTGGCTAAAGCTGGTTTGCAAATATTTTCTTTGTTGAAAGTGCAAGGCTCACTTTCTGTGCTGAAACTTTTAACTGACCCAAGGAAGAGAAAAATGATTGCTCCAAATACTACCATGAATATGCCAAGATATTTGTACTCCGTAAACAGGAAGGATGTTGCCCCTGCCAATGTTCGACATAGTTAGTATAAAAGTAACAGGGCAATCCTGTGGCTTCTTTTAGTGGTAACTGGAAACCTGTTAGTATATGTTAAAAGTTTGCATTCTTAAATCACAATATAGATACCTCGGCATTAGGATTTTAGTTTTGTTTGTCAGCTATCGATCAATATGAAAAACATTAAATTTGAAAAAGAAGATCGTACTAATTAGATGACAAGACAATAACTATTAGAAGAAGATACATGTAACACAATTATGTTAAAGATGCGGTCTTATAGATTCGGATACAGCAATTAAAATAATCTTCTTGACAATGGATCAGCCTTGAAAACATACATTGTTAAAAACCATCGAAATGAAGGAGAAGTCCATGGATAGTAAAGAGCTATAAACCACATGGAAACAATAACAGTTATAACAATAGGTGAAAGGAGAAAAGGTTCATACTTTGCAATCAACGAAACCGTTACAAAGTTTCAAATCCCGATGCAACAATAACTTCACCTCAGTCCCAAGCAAACAAATTGAGGTCGACTTATATGAATACTCATTATTCCATTTAGCTCAACTCATGTCATCATCGTTCAAAAGTCTAGATGATTTTGTTTATCTATCTAAGCTTTGGTGGATAGAGTTATCTGATACCTATAGTGTTGGAAAGTATATATATAATTGTGCATTCCAGCTGACACGGACACCATCATTAATAGGAAAAAAAAAAGAAAAGGTTTAGCTATGCGCAGGTCCAGGATAGGACTGGACCGTCTATTATACACAACCTTCCCTGCATTTCTGCAAGAGGTTGTTGCTACCGCGCATGAGGTCATTAACATAACCCTCCAATCTCATAACCTTAGTATCTAAACAAAAATGACAGAGTCAAATTCAGAGAGGTAAAAAAGATCCCACCTTGAGAAATGGCTTTTTGAATGTCAGCACACTTGGCAACAACATCATCAGAATCAATACCTTCTTCTTGTTCATCTTCTTCAATCAACTTGTTATTGTATTCACTTTCCAATTTTGACCCGCTGGAGACTCTGATCTTTGAGACCAAAACCCACTGAAGCAGAGCAAAACCAATGCCAATAATAGCAGCTAAAGGTATCAGAATCTGTGTTAAGGCTTCACTCATCAAACCCATCTCTCACACTTTTTCAACTTTCTTGAATTCTTCACTTTCTATATAACCACACAAGAAAAAGGAAACATTTTTTGAAAACAAAAGACTATATGACTATTTATAAAGAACTAAAATAAAACAAAATATGGTATAGCTTAGCATGCAAGGAAATTGTTGGAAAGCTTTAAGTTGATCGATTTGATTAACCGTTATGTTTGAATAAACAAAAATTACTCTCCAAGAGCAATTTGACAAGTAAAATTAAATTAATCAACATTGGATTATGCATTTTTCAATTTACAATTTTTGACTAACCATTGCTTAATGGTGGAAATTTTGACTATCTCTTAATTTTTCAGAATTAGACGGTTTTAAGTTTAAACTAATCAAAAGTCAACCAAAGATGCCTTACTAATAAGATACTTGTTTAGAAACAGAAAGGAAAGTTGTTAAGTTTTGTATGTAATATGATCAACGTAATTAGGTTTATTTATGTCATTAACTACCTAATTAGGTTCAACTTTTTTAAGGATTCAAACTCCAATTTTCCTTTATTCAGTCATTATGGAAAAACCATACTTAAAAAAAGAGAGTATAGATTAGTGCCTGTAATTTCTTGCAGTGTTCTTGAAGCTATGCAAGTATTTTGAATTGTCTTAGAGGAAGATTACTTGACAATTAAGATTTAAGTATGAATAATCAAGTGCATTTCTACCAAACCCAAGACTGCTTTAAAAAAAATTAACAGAAAGTCAAAACTTATTAGGGATTATTTGATCACGCCTTTCAGAGATCTATACGTTTTAGAAAATTCGAAAAACTTTTAATACTGTGAGTAATATGGTAAGTGAGAATTTGTATAATAATCCGCAACTTATTTGGGAGTGAGGGATAATTAATATTGTTATTGTTTATAAAGCATGGAAGGTACAGCACATAACTAATTGTTGATCTATTTCACTGTTTCAGTCCATGTAATAACTTCAGGCAAACCAAATCAAACAAAACATGTCGATAATGATGATTTACAATTCAGTACTTCAATCTCTATTAGAGCAAAAACTACCACAGTGCTAAATAAAAACAAGGAAGCTCTGGGATCATAACAATCTTATGCACATTAGCCCCGTTTACCAGCAAAGGAGACACATCAAACACTGATAATAAGAAATGGATGCAACACATGAGATGCAACTGTTATTGGCGTGAATTGCAATGTCCTCCATAACGATTAGCATACTGGGAAGTGACTGAGATGTCGATAACATCTGACTGGAAATCTTTTTCGATGCAGCAGTCTGCAGCTCCTTTTCTACTGCTTCCTCCCTCGTCCAATAACTTGCAGATTAACATAAAAGGCAGTTACCAAAATGTCAATAACATCTGACTGGAAATCCTTTCCGGTGCTGCAGCCTGCAGCTCCTCTATGCACCTCTCTCCCTTGTTGAACAAATTGCAGAGAATGAGGACATCTCCATAGGAGCTCCGCATAAATAACTTCATATTAGTCAGTATGTTCCAATTTCGTTGCAGATATTGTATAAGAAAATCCTAAATAGTGGAAAGTCAACAACTATCGAGCATATTTTTCTCTAGTCCAAAGCAAGATAAATAACATATCGTCAGCAACTTTATCCTCCAAAAAAGCGTACTGTCAAACTTTTTTCCATCAATGTGAACCTTGATGGATAGAGTCACTAACATTTTTGCAGAAGTTGATCTGGACACCAGCTCTATCCCCCCCAAAAAATAAAAATCGTCAACAATTATGAAGTATATTTATCAAAAGTTAGAACATGAAACATAGTGTTTTGCATAAAGAGGAGATGATTTTGAGACAGCTCTTTACAGGAAGAAGTCCACACCCATCAACTATGATTCGGGAAAAAACAAACACTAAAAGCAATAAAGCACATATATGCTGAATTGCTCAAGATATGTAAACACATCCATTGAACATGATCTCTTATAGATTTTGTGTTCACAGCAGTACATTACACATTTTTATTTTTGACAAGTAACCAGAAAAATGTATAGCTTATTCACATGTATAGGATCTTGGATGATACTATACATGCTAAGTCTAGCAGGAAGGATTTAACGAAAAACAGCCCGTATATTATGATTCACATCCTAAGATACACTGCCAAGAAAATTGGTGTGCAGACTCCCTTTTTATTGGCTTTCCATTACGTGGCCCAAATGGGTGCTTCATTTGATCACTTATCGACAAAAATAATTTAAGCAAAAGGAAAAATGTCTTGAAGTCCATAAACAACACTCATAAAATTAGGGAACCTATTGCAACTGTATTTGATAATCATAAAATAAAAGCAGCATTGTCACTCGAAACATAACAGCCACAGACCCCCCACCACTGACAAAGGAAAAGAAGAAGAAGAAAGAAAAATTCAATTGAAAGAAAACCCCACAACAGTTTGAATTGACTTCTCTATATACAAGGGTATCTCTTTCTCCTCTACTGCATTTTAATAAAGTGCCATTCAGTGATAATTTCTCGCTCTCTCCTAGTCCAACTTCCCCTCAAGGTGTATAAAACAACATACAACTTATAAACTTTAAGCATTGTCATAACAATTTCAAGAATCAAAAATTAAGAGGCAAAAGAACTACTATCAAAGTCAGCAAAGTAATGAAGGCTAGGATTTTACCATTTGCTTGAGAGAGCTCAAAATACTATCAAACTGCAAGCAATCATTACTCGAACTGAGACCTTAAAGGTTGAATAGCCCAGGAAGGTAAAGGGGCCTGAAGCAGCATTGATTTCCCAGTAATAGGATGCTCAAAAGATAAACTTTCTGCATGAAGTTCATGACTATCGTATATGTTTCCTTTCCACTCATAGACACCTTCATATCTTACATCTCCTCGTATAGGAATTCCAAGATACTGGCAATGCAAGCGAATTTGGTGTGTTCTTCCACTCCGAGGGCTCGCCCTGACCAAAATCTCATCTTTCTTCAAGTCACAACCGATGACTGATTTCTCTTGAACTATGACTATATCTTCATCTTTATGTAAGTCAGAAACCTCTTTAAAACACCCAAGACCATTCACTGATAGTACTTCAAAAGAGGTCTCCATGTCTTTAACAAGTGATCCACCTGGCAGTTTTCTGCCCGCATCTGATGCAGCATAAACACGCCAAGCTCCATATTTTGATCGTCCATGACCTGATTTTACAGTTATTTTTTCCCATTTAGGAGCAAGCCCAACGCAGTAAGCCAGATATGTTTTTCTTACTTTATGGTCTGTAAATGCTTTTACGAACTTAGCAGCTACTTTGTGTAACTTAGTAATCAACATCACACCACTTGTATCACGATCGAGTCTATTAGCTAAATGAAGCTCGGAAACATTAGCCCCTGAAGATATTATTGCAAGAGGAGGTGAAAATACAAGGAAACCTCAAGTATCCAAGTAGTATTAGTCTTAATATATTTCTTAACTTAAAACATAAAATAATTCAGATGTTTAACGATAAAAACAACATAAGATGATTAAAATGTCTGTTTACAGAACAACTTCTAGACACCATGAGCTTCATTCCTCTTCTTTTTGAAACTATCTATAGGCGTATAAAAACCTCTATTCTATTACACATTGCTAATAAACGGAAGTACAATAGTTACACCGGTTTAGTCCATTACAAATGTATATTAGTGTATACTACTACCTTTAAACTACAAACAGAAGAAGAGTTTATTTAAATCGTCAGTTACCAAGCCTATATATTAATCACTTAACTGAAATTATATTTTGCTAATCCAAATGTCATCTATGAGTTAATTTTTCTCCACTTCCAACTCCAAATATTACAAAAACAACCAATTGTACGCGAAAGTAGTCTCACCAGTGTCATTGAGTAAATCCGGGAGTGAAGACAAAACGCTCTCGCAGTAAATTCCTTGAGGCTTATTAACCGCAATGATCCATTCGTCTTCAAATATAACATGACTTCTCGAAAGAGAAAAAAGAGCGGATTTCGAAGAAGCCGTTAAAGCTCTATTCGGCTCTATGTCCTTAGATAAGGTAGGCAATGGCGGAGATAATGGTACTGGGTAATCTGTGGTTGCCACCGAGGGAGAATCGAAGTAGCTTTGGCTCGCCATGAAGATGAATCGACGGTGCCGGGAAATTCTGGTAGGAGACGCGAAGAAATTTATCGAAGGGATTTGGAGGAGAGGGAACTTTACTGTCATTTGGATTTTCGGCTCTAGGGGTTTAAGACCAATAATGCCCTAAACTTTTTAGTTTAGTCCGTTACGAGTGTAAGTTGAAAATGTAAAAACTCACGGCGTGCGGGCACCCTCTTTTCTTTTTAAATTTAATTGAAGTGTAATAAAGATTTTTTACAAAGAAATTGCAAAATTACAATAATAATAAATTGTATCAGCTTAAAAAGTCAATTTTTTTGTTTAACTTATCTCCTGCCCTTTTTTCCGTTTGTTTTAAAAAAGATTTAGTAATATTTTGATTTCAATTTTTAGATACGTGTTTAAGGTCACAAATTAACGAATAATTTTATATATTTGACATAATTTTTATTTAGAATCATAAAATTTAAATTCTTTTTTTATATTCTAAAACTTAATATCAAATTAAATCAAATTATTTTTTATAAAACAGAATGGAATATTTCTTTTTAGTATTTTTAATCTATACTCATTTGAGACAAAAGCCTAGTTTGCTTTTTTTCTCCTTTTCCTCGTTTATTTGGAATTTGAGATTATTAAATTCTTTTATGCATTTTCTTGAAAATTCATTTTAGGTGTTTTAGAATATTTCTTGTTTCTCGTAAATTAAAAATTATAAGTCATAGACTCATAGTTGATTATATAATCATATATTCAATCTTTAGCTTTTAGATTTTTTTTTTGGTACTTTTATGACCTAAAAGTAAATATTTAAAATACTTTTTATTTTTTTCAAACACCTTTATAAAAAATATATAAAAATTAAAAACTATTTATAAAATAAATAAATCCGAATACCTTTCATTTTTCAACAGATACATTAGGCGTAAGCTATATTTTCGGAAGGTACGTGTCGGGCACAAGTCTAAACGGAGCTCCAGATCCGCTTCCATTGAATTGAATCGGGCACTAGAAAACCTGTCATCTTCAATTCATCCACGAATCCTTCATTTTCTTCCAGAGAAAAAATCATACAGATTTCGTCAATTTCATCTTCCTGTAGATGATTAATTTATAGATATGTTATCGTCTTCGTCGTCGACTTCGATGATTCGTCGTGTTGTTCCCTTCTTCACCGCCCGAATTCGTCAAAATTACCGACTTTTGAATTCTTCAGCTTCTGCTCTATCACAGCCCCAATCTCAATCTCAATCTCAAGTCGAAGCTACAGATTCCGTTGTAATGACTGAGAACTGCGTTCGTGTAAGTTTTAATATATATCTCCGTCCGAAGCTTCCCCTTTTTTTTATGCTTAAAAAATGTCTGTGCTGATTATTTTTTTGATTATGGGATAGACTTTTTGCGACTTATGTGCAGTGGTAACAGAATTTTTCGAGATTTGATACCTTTTATGTTTAATCAGTTATATTTGTTCAGTTGCTCTGTGAAAGATTGTTAATTTCTAAGTGAATAGCTCCAAATTCCATTTGGGAAAGGTTATTTTTGGCACATGAAATCGTGGTATATGTGACCATCTGAGAGCATAATCGCTTTGACTACAACGAAATTCAAGTTTTTATACTGTTTTATAAGGTTCAATGTCGTACTGTTTAGGTATGAATTGCTTGTAAATTAAGTTGAGACAGTTTATTAACTTGGTCTTTTACATGCCTGAGTAGAGGATTAAAGAGTTGCAAGCTGGCGAACATAAAGAGAAGATGCTCCGGTTGAGTGTTGAAGCCGGTGGTTGTTCTGGGTTTCAATATGAATTCTCTCTAGATGATAAGACCAATTCGGATGACAGGTTTGCTACTGGTTTCTTGTATTTCACATCCTAAACAGTTTTGGGAGTATTATATGAGCCTTCTTTAGTTATAGATTGTCTTAAAGCAAACTATTGAGTATTAGAATGAAACGAGGCTGAATAAAGTGAACTGGATGTAGAGGCTTATATATCCAACTCCAAGTCTCCTACTAGTTTGGGATTGACACAAATTTGGTTGATTGATTGATAAATTCCGTTTTTTGGTTGTCCTAGGTATCTGCCAGATTTTGAAGCATGAGTTCAACATCCCCCATATCCCACCCCCCAAAACCACTTAAAATTCTCTCGAGTTTCATATACTGCTACTGTTAACATTTGCTATTATGTTGCTTATTTTGCTGTTCATTCATATCTTATATTTGTAGAATTTTTGAGCATGACGGAGTTAAATTGGTTGTGGATAATGTATCATTCGATTTTGTCAAAGGTGCAACTGTTGATTATGTTGAGGAGCTGATCCGCTCTGCTTTTCAGGTCTGTAAAAGTAGCTTTTTACATTCACTATTGCTATTTTTTTGCATGTCAGATTCACATGCATATTGGTGTTCTAGACCAATTGTATGATGGATGCGCGACTATTCTATTTTTCCATTTTGTTCATCAACGAGGCAATAATAGGGACAGGCATTAACTCCAGCCCCGAAAGACTTGTCATTCTAAAATATGAGGAAGTAACTGACCACTCTTGTGGGATTTCATTGGGTATGTTGTTGTACCACTGTCCACTCTACTAGCCTGGGGTAGTACATCGTAGTTTTACATTCCAACAGTTATTAATCTAGACTAGAAATTTCTAGGAGTCTTATGAACTAGAATTTTCATTTTAAAAAATGCGTGGAGTAATGTTTAAGAATTCAGCTGCTTTTGGGGGAGGGAAAAAATAACTTCCTACTTTTTAAACAAAGTATGTTGTGTTCTGTCACATTTGGAACAAAGAAGCTGCACTACATGAGGAGTACCATGAGGTCTCAGTTACATTACCTTTATCGTGAAAAAGTTACCTTTAGGTCTCGGGTTCAAATCCTAACGGAGGCTAAACACTCTAGGTGATCTTTTCCCATTTGTCATAGTTGTGGTGCGCAAGCTTTGTCCAGACCCCAACAGAAATAAAAAAAGCTACTATCTGTATCTATATTTTGGAGGGCCAATGAGTGCTGACAAACGTTTTGGGATATGAGGAGATTACAATTATGACTTTGATTACTACCTACAAAACTGAAATAAGGAAAAGAAGAGAGTCAGGTATGGAATATATAGAGAATCTCATTAACTGGGTAATTGATAAGAACACTGGTTATATTTAATCACATTCCAAGTATAGTTTGTTTGTGTAAGGGATTTAGTTGAGGGTACTCTGTGGAGTAATGTGGCATATTCATCGCGTTCCAGAAAATCATTCACTCGTATGCAATAACTAAATCTGAGTTAAAGTTGCTTTCTTCTTGTTCTGAGGAGCAGCTGCTCCTTTCATGAACTGATAGTTGCTAATGGTATGGCAAACTTGATATGTGATGTGCCACAAATTATTCTAACTAGTCAGCTTGGCAAGTCTTTTTTTTTTGGGAAACTGGTGACTTTGTATATGTATCTTTAAACAAGTCAGTACAAAAGTTGTACTACAATCATATCTACATGAAGCCTTCCAAACAAGCTATGATCCTATTATCTATAATGAATCTAAAACATCAATAATATAAACTGAATCATTAGTAAAGATCTGCTTAGACCAAAAAACACAGATCAACTTGGTAATTTTCTATTGTGATTTTAAAAACTGTCTTCTTCCTATTTCTTTGTAGTGGAATGTAAATTGTGAAGTTTTTAGTTTTGACTATCTGACAGTCTTCAGATATTTAAATTTTGTTTCTTCGGGCTTTAACAAGTAGTGTAAGAAACCTTGAGAATTCTATTAATTTAACTGAGAAGCATGATTAAAGTGGTCATTCGAATGATCAGAAACTGTTGATTTCTTGAAGACTTGGAATCTAAAATTAACATGAAACTGTTCAGTCGGTGTATATTGATTATCCTATTTCCTTATTTATGCATCTTAAAATTCTGTGCAACTTTTCAGCATGCAAGCACCAACTTTTGGTGGTATTAAGCTCAGATAATACATGAGGAAACTAACTTCTAATTTGGCTCATAATGTCAGAATTGGCAAGAGGTCGTAAATTCATCTAGTTGTTTTGCTTCTGATACAGAAATTCTTCTTATTTAGAAAAAGGGAAGAGAGAAAATGAGACAATGTAAAAATATAATTAACGAGGGGGTAGGCGAGAAAAGAAATTTTGTTTGATTAGCTTAGTCAATATTTCAATTACAAACAGGAATTGCCATATATTTAATAGGGACAAGCATGCATCTATATTTGTTAGCTTAGATCAGTGAAATCCAAACATGTACTTACACATAGTCCTTCAGGTTAAATCCAAATTGGTACCAGCTTTTACAGATTTCTAAGCAAAAGCCAAAGGAGTACTCTATTCTTCCTCCCTCCCCTTTCCTTCCTTGCTTAATATAGTCAACATAGATTTGTGTTCTTTTCTTTGTGACTTGGTGTCCAAATTATTATACGTTGTATTGATTGGTGTCACCTTATACATTTGACTGATAAATCACATGTTAATATTTGTCTTTTACTGCAAATGATGTTTCCTTTTTTCCCGTGTCATTCTTTCTTTCTTTCGAGGGGGTTTTGCAGTAATTCCATAATAGTGTTAATATTAATCTGTACTCCTCTTTGTGACTCGTTATCCAACTTATTGTACATTGTGTTGATTAGTGTCACCTTATTCATTGGACTGATAAATCGTACATAGTTAATATTTCTCTTTTTCTGCAAATGATGTTTACTTTTTCCCTGTCACATCCTTCAAATGATGTTTACTTTTTCCCTGTCACATCCTTTCTTTCTTTTGGAGGGGGCTCTGCAGTAGTTCCTTAATATAGTTAACATTGAATATTCTAATCACTGTGTCTGCGGGTCCCCAAATTATTGTATGTTGTGTTGGTTAGTGTCACCTATTACATTTGACTGATAAATCATATGTAGTTAATATTTGTGTTTTACGGCAAATGATGTGTCCCCCCCCCCCCCTCCCCCATGTTGTATTAAGCATATAGTGTGTAACTGACATAAAATGAAAAATCTATGTACATTGAATTATATGTGAGATAAAGAGCCACCATTCAGGAATACCAATGATTGCATGTAGCGTACTGATGTATGCTTAAAGATTAAGATGTTTCCTCTTCAATTTATTTGTATGGATTGAGGATTTTTCCTTCTATCTCAACGAAATTTTCAAATATCATCTTATTGTAAATTGATTGATTTTTTGGACTGCACAAAGCATGAACAATTTACTAGCAGATGAATAAAATGAAAAACACATGGAAAAAACTAGTATATTCCTAGGCCACAACTATGTTAGTATCTGGATGCTAGAATAATTTCACTGATGCTTCTTTGGAGGAAATGGAAGTCCTGATAATTTGCTGAGGGAGAAAACAGATAGGAGTGGCCACTGGCCTGCAAGCCTGATTTAGAAAAGGCTTATGACCATGTGAATTGGAAATGCTTGTTGATGTTGATGAACCTTGGAAAGAAATGGATAGAGTGGATTTGATTTTTTGCTTCAACTGTGGAATTTTCCATGCTTATTAATGGTGACCCATAAGGTTTGTTAAGTTCTCAAAGAGGTCTTAAGCAGAGAATCCTCTCACACCATACCTATTTGTTCTGGTAATGGAAATCCTCAGCACAATGTTGAGAAAAGCTGAAAGGTTGGGGGTGGATAAGCTACCTTAAAATAGGCAGGTTAGATCAAGAGGTATGATGCTTAATCACATTCTGTATGGCGTATGCAGATGGCTCTCTCCTATTTTGTGAAGCTAACAAATAGCAGATGGTATATTTGAGAGGAGTTCTTTAATGCTATGAAGCTGTTGCTGCACTGAGAGTTAACCTAGTAAAGAGTAGTATTTAGCATTAATGCTGATGACTGTTGAGAAACTGAGTAATATCATGGGATGCTGGGGTAGAAAAGTTCCCACCATTGTTTGGGGCTTCCATTAGGGTTGAAAAGTGGGGATAAAAATATTTGGCAAAGGGGTCATTAAAAAGTGTGTAAAAAAAATCCAACTCCTTGGAAAAAACTCTCTTGGAGGTAGGCCTACTTTGATCAATAGTGTCTTAGATGGAATTCCAACATATACTATGTCTCTCTGTTGTATGCCTGCAACGTTGGTAGTCAGTTGGATTCTATTAGAAAACAATTCTAGATGCTTTTTTGGAAAATAAATCATCTATTTTATTTTCTGTTAAGTTACTCTCGGTTTTTCATTTAACCGCTTTGTGCATGTTTACTGTCATTCTGCAGGTTTCTACCAATCCAAGTGCAGTGGGTGGGTGCAGTTGTAAAAGTTCCTTCATGGTGAAACAGTAATTTGACACTTCTGTAGCATTCAGCCCAGAAAATCAGCATTCCTCTAAGCTGGATATGGTTTACTGCAAGGCTTAACCACTTTATTATGTTAGTCAATCTGATGTATCTCTATTCATCATATTCTTCTACCGTGTTAAGGTAGCAAGACCTGCATTATGAGAATTTATACTTGTGAGGTGATAGATTCTTTATTTGTACATGCCATTTTTTTGCCTTGTTGGGGCTAGTTGGAAGTGCAGAGTCTGACTGTTAAATTAGACAGGTGGATAGGCTGTTGTATTGTAGGCAATAATTCCAGTTGAAGATGTGGTTAGTTTTGGCTGGAGACTTTGTACAAGGAATTTTGAAGTGAAGGGTTACTCCTAATTACTGGGAATAATGGTCCAAAGGCATGTGGGAGAAGCATATTAGATAGCGTCCGTCCATATCCACTGTAGTAGAAAGTTTTGATCAAACAATGGGTTGTTTTATTTTTGCTGTATGATCTTTTGACATCTGTGGTCATGTTGAAATTGAAATCGAAATCTTGAAAAAAGAACAATATTACCTGGGAGTTGAAAAATCTGAATTTGGATGTGTACTTCACTTGTATATCTTAAGCCGGTTGGATTTGCAGTTGATTACTTTAATTTATTAATAAAAAGTGGTAATTGTTGGTCATTATTTCTCAGTTATCTGAAAAACAATTCTAAATTAAAGAGTAACTAAAGTCTAGGTTCATCGCAGTGAGAAGTATCATTCTAAATTGTTTCGAGCTTTGTGTGAGAGGGGCTTATAACTCATGATTTATAAATCAAGAGTTATAAAGTTAGATATTTTTCACTAAGCATCTAAAGAAGCCAATGCAAAATTTATAAGAAAAGATTTTCATTGATATAAACACTGCAAAATCTTCCTCTGATCACTTTTAGTGCGATGTTTATAATGTGATGCAGTTCTGCAATTAGGATTGCTTTTTTAATTTTTGGACAAAACGTCGTCGTACTTTTCGTCTTCTGAAACCTGAATAGCGTTAAACCCAGGCCTAAACCCTCTGGGTTTGATGGTTCGTCGAATCGGATTCCAGTAAAAATGTCGTTTTTAATATTGGGAAGAAGATCGACGCAGCTCTCTAGAATCCCCACACGCGAACTCTTCTTGTTTTCTTGCTCTTTTTCTTCTCAATCTCCTAATAATTCCATTTCCAATTATAGATCAACAATTTTTTATTCTTGGTACAATTCATCTAATAGAAGAAATAAAGGGTTCTCATCAATTTTCAATGGAAGGGCAAAAAACCCATCAGGGTCTATATGGGGTGTTCGATTTTTGAGCTCTGAAGCTGCTGTTGAGCCGACTACTGCTGATGGGCTTACTGTTGAGGGAATTATTGCGAAAAATTGGAATATACTTGATGATAGTGAGGATGATTGGAAAAGTCATGCTTCTTCCATTGCTCAGTCCGTTCATCTTATCAAGAAACGCCTCAAGGTATTTATGTCTATACGTAATTGTTGTTTGAAGCAGCTTTATACTTTAATTTAGATTGACCACATCACTAAAAAGTTTTGATCTTTTTGCTTATTGATGAAAAAACAGAGGAACTTGTGATATTTATGACAAAGTTCCGATCTTTGTGCTTATCCAGTGAGAAATATAAGTTTATGATCTTTCTGGGAAAAAATGGGATTTTTATGTTTTATATGTTCTGTTTGGAAGACAGGATTCTACATTTTGTGTCTGATAATTGTTGTTTTTTCTTTAGAAAATTCCTCAGTAGGGTGAGTTTTGGGGGATGGTTGGTTGGGTATTGAGGTAGGTCATGGACATGAAGAGAACTGAGAACAGACCGATGTGAGCTTCACATAGGGAAGGTTGCAGTAGGTTTACGGCAAGTGTGCAAATAATCAGCCCTTGATGAATCCAATGATTGTTGTATTTGTTGATTGGATATAATAGCTTCAGTACTATGGCCAGGTACCAGATGGATTTAAATGAATGATCAATGTATATAATTATATGAACTAATAGCAATAATAGCAACCGAGAACTAACAAAACTAGTCTGACAGGAAACTCGAGTTGTACTTGGGGCATGTTTAAGGGATTGTTATTTTTGTTTTTTAGATTGAGATAATTATTTTAATGAAGTAATATATGACATGGTTCTTTTGAGAATGTTCTAATTCTATTTAATGAGTTCAGTCTTTTTGTTTGTGGTGTTTCTTTGCTCCCATTTATAGTGGAAAAGGCTAATGTATAGGCTTGAAGTGCTATCAGCTCAGCTCAATAAGGCAGATCTTTGGGATGACCCCGTCCATGCTGGGAAGATCAGCCGTGAACATGGTTCTCTAATGAACAAAGTGGAGGATGTTATGGCCATTGAACAAGAGTTGGTTGAACATATTGACATGATTAAGCTCGCCAGGGAAGAGAATGATCCAGAGTTGGAATCGGTGAGCTTAAATTTGTTTATTGCATGGAATACACTACTCCATGATTCCCGTTTTTACACTATTCCTCTTGTTTCAGTTTAATTCAGAATGTTGCTAATCAAACCAGATTCTTCCTCTTAAATTCAGTTTGTTACAGGCATATCATTGGACTTGTATCAGTACTTCTATTTAAATATCACTAGTTTGATCCTAGAGGTTCCACTTAATTTGTATCTACCTCTTTTTTTTAAGTACTTTATTTGTAAGTTTAACCAACAGTCTAGTTCTTAGTAATGATTACTGTATTACTTGGAGCTGATATGCAAGGCTTTACAGCCCAATTCCTGCTCGGTATGACAAATAAATAAGTTCCTAACTCCATCTTCTGTATGAAACTGACTGCTTGGTTGGACCAAAACTGAAACTGGAAGCAGTTAAATTTGTTGGTTTTCTTTCCTTCCAGGAATAGGTAAGGAATGAGTTATATTACAAAGAAGTTGGATTAAGTTTTATACTTCTTTACCTAACTTTTATACGACTTCTTTTGTTATACTACATGTAATAAATTTGAACATAACTTGCAAATATCAACAGCCCAATACCTGTTTGGTAGAATGAATAAATAAACTACTGAACCGTTAACTCCATCTTCAAACTGATTGCTTGACTTGATGCCTTCACCAGGAATGAACTTGGAAGGAATTATTTACTCAATGTTTGTTCAATTACCCTCTTACCTGCAAATGCAATGTACGCATGATTTTTCTTCTTCCTGGTATAGGTGTAGAATGATTTTTATAAAGAAGACAAAGTTAGGTTCTATATAACTTGTGTTATATTTTTTGTTATAGAACATTATTTGTTTTTCTTTCAAGAAAGTGTATATCTCAGGATACTCCAATTCATTCTGCCACTTGTGGGTCAATTTTATGAGAAATTCAATTGTCACTTGGCATTTCTTCCTATTTTATTAGACATTTTGAATGCAGGAATCAGTGAAAGCTTTACTTGGAATTAGAAGGAATGTGAAAGAAAAAGAGCTTGAAGCTTTATTATCTGGGGAGCATGATAATTGCTCTTGTTTTATAGAGGTAAGTTTCTCTGAAGCTCAGACTCTGTTTTAAATTGTCAGACATGGTTTTGCTGATACTTATATCTATTAGTTTAGAGAACTTTCGTCTCCCTGGTCTTTGAGTGTTTACTTATTTCTCCTTGTCACATCTTGTTCCAGAAAAACTTAGAAGGACATCTCATAAGAAAAGTCACTCACTTTGTTGATTTCCTCAATCATGTTTTTTTGTAAAATGGATGCTGACAGACTTGTTATTTCCTGTATAGGTTCAAGCTGGAGCTGGCGGTACTGAGAGCATGGACTGGGCTTCAATGGTCATGCAGATGTACAAAATGTGGGCTCAACGTAAAGGATATGGTGTTTCTGTTGTGGATGAAATGCCTGGTGAGATTGCAGGAATCAAGGTCTAGGTTCTTACCATTTTTTCTTCTTTCACTTGAAAAATTCTCTAGCTATTAAGTAGTATGGAAAATTGAAATTTGTGAATGGCAAAAACTCTTAGCTATTTAAACAAGCATTAATTTTATAACATTCTGTTGGGAGAACTTGGTTTAGCCTTGAAGCATAACAGAATTGTTAAACATATATGTAATTAATATGTTTTTAAAGTATGGGTTGTGAATCTTGTCATTGGTTATATTTGACCTAAAATTAGGAAGTTTTCCCCTTTCTTCTTAATTTTCAATCATGGCACTAGTTAGCTATTGTCTTATTGCTCTGCTGGTTTCTGCTCCCCCCTGTTATCAGCGTGCAACAATCAAAGTTGATGGCGAAAATGCTTTTGGATATGCCAAATCAGAGGTAGGAGTGCATCGTCTGGTACGCATCTCGCCATTTGATAGCGCGAAGAGAAGGCATACTTCCTTTGTTGCAGTTGCTGTAATTCCAATTTTGGGAGATGGATCTACACATGTTCAAATCAATGAATCTGATCTTCGAATTGAGCGTTATCGATCAGGGGGAGCTGGTGGTCAGTCTGTTAACACAACTGAGAGTGCTGTCAGGATAACTCATATTCCCACAGGCATTACTGCCTCTTGTCAGAATGAAAGGTAAGCATCCATTCTGGTGAAAAATATGTGAAAGCTTCTTTCTTTTCAATTGGAAGAAGAAGAGGAAATGGGAACTTTTAGTGATCTAATATTTTTCCAAACAAAAGGTCACAGCATTCAAACAAAGCTTCTGCCATGGCTGTGCTTCAATCGCGCTTGGACCAACTTGAGATGGCACGACAGGCTCAGATGAATGCACAACATACTCAGTCTCTCACTGAGATCAGTTGGGGCAACCAAATACGTACTTATGTGCTCCATGTATGTTTCATACAGTTTAACCTTTCATTTTACCTTCATAGTGATGGTTCATGTGGTCATCATAACTGCTCCGTATCATACTTGTAGCCTTATCGCATGGTCAAAGATCTCCGGACAAATTATGAGGTTTCAGATCCTGACTCTGTGCTTGAAGGGGATCTTGATGACTTCATTTTGAGCTATCTTTCAACATCAATAGACAAGGATGAAGAATGACCTCTTAACCTTAATTTTTGGGTTCCCCTGACTTGTTGAGTATGAAATTGGATAACGTAACTCCAGTCTCAGCTCTCAGCTTCACTTTGTGGCACCGGGAGACTGCTTCACTGGTGCCTTATATTGCAGGAGAAAAAGTTCAAAGAAGTTTTTGTTGGTTACAACTCACAAGGCATCATTCTTGCTAATTCATGGGAATGACTGGTGTGCCATAGTTTTACCATCTGAATCACATCATTTATACGAAGTTGATGAAATAATGTTTTTGGATCAAGCTGCTACTCCCTTGCTAGGGGACTGCTTTATTTTTATCCAAGATCTGTAATGACAATGTAATTATCTTTGTCAAAGAGAAGATTAGTACCAGTCAAACTGAGGTAGCATACTTGTTTGCAACTGTGAACCATCCAATACAATACATAAATTTCTAAACAAGCAACATTATACCACTGAAATATTAAGTTCAGCAGAAAAACACTGGTCTCAACTCGCAAATAGGCTCTTGGTAACTGTCGATTTCTAATCTGCCTGCAAAGTGCCGCAATCTGTTTGCC